GACCGTGACTGAAATGCAGCCGAGAAAACAAATCATGCACATTGTGGGATTTGCCTGCAGGTCAGACTGTCTCTGAAGTGGAAACTACATCATTTACCTTGAAGCTTCCCTGTCACCTGCATCAGCATGGTGGCCTTGGTAGACACTTTCTTGGTATTTTTGGAAGCTTTCAGCCTGAAAGCCTTGTGTTTGCTGCTTGGGTTTGGTTCTTCATCAGATCTCAGGTGAGAAGGAACTTCCTTTCCACTGGCTAAAATTCTTGTAAAAATAACAAGCAAAAAAATCTCAGAATGGCACTTCTCTATTCTGCTGTTCGGAGTTACTCATAGATTCTGAAAGGGTTAATTCCACATGCTGTGATGTGCCTTTTTCAGTCAGATGTGTAACTTCTACTTCAACAAAGACCCTTGGTTCAGCAGTGAAACCTACCCTATCTGTTCACCTCTATCTTCATCAGACAATATCTGCTACAATCTGCTTCCTCATATATACTCTTAATTAAAATTTAGTTCTCTTCTGTCCAAGTCATTCAGCAAACTCAAATTTATGTAGAGCTTTAATCATCCAGTAGCCTGTGGCTTTTCTGGAAGATGTTCAGTGAGATCACCTACAGCATTAGTCATTTTCTCTTCAAATGGAATAATTCCCACCTCTGGCCCTCTTTGCTGAGAGCTGAGCTGTTCTTTTACCCACTTCTATTGTTTGTCACATAAAAACAGTGTTGCAAAAGCCACCTTGTAGCTATATGGGCATCCTAAGTATTACAGCCAAAATGGGGTAACACAGGCTGATGGCCTGGGACATCATCAAGGCAGCAGACATCATCAAGGCTGTCCCCAGGGTTGAGTTTGCAGGGACCAGCCAACAAGGATTCATGAGCACCCTCACAGCTCCTGGACATGGGAGGTAAGGGGGGGAGGCTGCAAAGGCCACGATCGGTGGGAGCAAGGTGGGAAAGGGCAAGGCGAGAGTAGACTCATCAAAAAGTGAAGTGAACATAGAATTCATGTTGAGTCACAGGATGCAGACGAGGAAACCAAGGTTGATGTCTCATTGAACCCTTGTTTCTCCTTCTCTGTTCTTGACATTTTGCTTTTTACATCACGTCTGGCTGAAAGGGTGGTGATAGCAACTATCTTCTAACACACGCAGTCAGCGTGGTGAGAGCCGCACATGGAGCTGAGTATCTCCTAATGTAATGTTAATGACAAATACACGGCCATGCTCACAGCATTTACTCTGCTATCCCCACTAAAGGGCAGTCACAGTAGAAGCAAGCAGATTCAGGCTTAGTTAAGCACATAAATCTGGTAGTTAATATGCATCATGCAGCTGCAATATATAGTATGCACAATATATTGTATACAGATGATATATACAAGGTACTACCACTCAAAAGGCCACTGCAGTTACAAAAAAAAAAAAAAAAAAAAAAAAAAAGAAAGGACATTCAAAGCTACAGCCTTGGCTCAAGCTCACCATCAGCTTATCAAGCAAGGAACTTTTCTCCGTTTTTACCACCCCAAATGATGCTGTGAGAGGAGAAGGGAGATGTGAATAGAAGGCGAGTATGCATCTAGTTGTTGTGTCTGTAGATCGCTGCTAGGACCAACTCCAGAACACAATGTACTATGGCAACATTAATATCTTAGTGTGCTGTGGATTAAGACATTATTTCCAAAGATACCATTTCAAATATCCATTCCAATCAGGAGATGCTGTGGTTCTAACTGTGCTGATAAAACTGTGTTAGAAATGTTCAAGTAGCAGACAGAATTTGGGGGATCTTGGCCTTGAGCACTCTGGTGATGTTTGGGATTTCCAGGGGTAGAGGTTACCACCTTTCTCCCCGAAGGAGAAAAAAAGGCAGACAATTTTAAAAGAAAGGGAGAAATGCAAAAGAATATGAAAAATCCATAGTGATGTTACAAGTGCATGAAGATATATGCACTTAACTGCAACTGACAGATGACTTTATTGAAGTAATGACCAAAATATATTTTAGTGACTACAGTTTAGGACTCAAAAGCATACCAATGAGCATTTCTCTCTCTTTTTTTTTTTTTTTTTTTTTTTTTTTTTGTTGTATATTATACTAAGTTAAAACACTAATTTCACTTTTAATTTTTATTTCTGTTTTAATACTTCCTAAATTAAACCATATTGCTCAGATTGGCTTAAAATTGAATTGCAGACAAAGAAATGAGTCCTAAGAAGCAGTTAACAATGAAAACATGCTGCAGTGCTCCATTACCTAGAAATAAAAATGCAAAATATATGTCATTAACAAGAAAAAGGTATATATAAACTCAGTAGCAGTAAAAAAAGTAGAAAGCTAAAATATGTTAAAAAATAACTACATAAATTGCATGCTATTTTGAACTGTAGCTTTAAAATCACCCCGTTAGTGTTTTGCTTGCACACAATGCCAGAAGCACTTTTCCAAATGATGGCACACTTGCTCAGGGGCACCAAGAACTTCATAATCACATCAATGACAAACTGCTAAAACATTGGTCTACCATCAGGACAAGGAAAATGATAACTAAGACATTAATAAAATATTGCATGCATGTTCTTTCTTTAATCCTGATAGACTAAAATGATCAGAATTTCATCAGGCCCTGCACAATTAACTGGAAAAGGATTTTTTTTGAAGACAATTTAAATTACTGTATGAAAAATATATTCTTGTTGCACAACCTACTTTGCTGCATAGAAAGCACAATATCTGCTGTCTGAGGGTAACTTCAACTTCCCTATCATTTCTTTTATACATACATACATATACACATACATACATACTACATACATACATATACACATAAAGTATTTTAATTACACAATATTGATAAGTAAACCCATTTGAAGCCCTCTTAACTTTAAGCATGTGCTAAAATACTGTTTATACCAGTGGCATCCATCTCCCACTGCATTTCTTGGCTCCTGTGTCACATGTGGAAGTCAATAGATTTTTTAACTAGCGTGCTGCAAACACCAGGACATGCGGAATTACAGTTGTATATTTCTATATTTTCACTTAGCACATGGAAATTAAGTGCCTGTCTCTGAAGTCCTTGAGGTCTTTGCTGCTTCTTGCCATCAATTTTTTTCCCTTTTGAATAACCTCAATAACAGCTCTGCTCTCCTATTACCCTGTCTGCCCAGTTCCTCATGGACCTTCAGATCAGGCAGGCTCCAGAACCCTGTGGAGCTCAGCCCATGACCTCCCATTGCTAAAAGAAACTGACCCTTATTCCTTGCCTTTCTTTTCTCTCATTTACTTTTCTATTAATCCTTTTATTCCGATATAAAAGGGGTGCAACTATGGGGGTACAGGAGGCTGCTAGAAGCTGCTGCTTAATGACCTGCAGAAATGTTTGCAACTGGACACAGCTCTGGCACCTGTTTCTGTTGATGGAGACACCAGTATCCTGTTGGGACACGCTGGTGGGATTGCATTGCTCTGGGTACTTCACAGTTGCAGAAGGGCTTTAGATGGCCAAGGCCATCCTCTGCATGAACGTCTATTCTACTGCAGGGCCTTGTAGGAATGAGCTCCTACTAGGTGGTGTTGAGTCAGGTTGAAGATGGCGTGGCAGATTCATGGCTGCCCTTATCTTGTGTCCTTTCCTAGCACAGTCTGATGAGGGTGACTGTTTCTGACTCTGTTCTTGACAGTGCAAGAAAGCAGTACGGGAAAAACGAGGAAGCAAGGAAAGGAAGGAGGGACTTGTGCCACCTAGGACTTGTCAGCGTGCTGCAGGTAGCCTCTATGAGGACTACAGAGCTCTGCAGCACCTAGGGACAGAGGTTTTCAGGGAAAGCTGTTGGACACCTCCGTGCAAGGACAGAGCTCAGTTCAGGGGCCAGAAGTTCTCTTTGCTGTAAAATGTGATATATTCTTTCATCTGGTGTGGAAGAAGTTTTCTACTCCCCCTTTCTGCCACAGAAGAAAGCAGCTTGTGTGGAGCGCAGATGACCAGCACGCAGGAGAGAGGACACTAGCACCATCACTACTTGCTCGTGCAGTGGCCACTGTGCTCACTGGATTCCAAAGGTCCTTGTGCCTTGTTCCCTGCAGAGTCCGTACTGGGGACTACCAAAGTGCTCCATCAAGAGTGTTTTTTCCCTCATCTTCAGCAGATTAAAAACAGCCACCAAATCACACTGCTTGTTCTGGTACTTGGACTGTGTTTAAACTTGCAGCTTTTCAAAGACTATCTCTGCTTTCTTCCGGGACTTTCCTCTGCCCTGGAACAGGAGCGCAGGCAGTGTGACAGCTGAGCCTGTGGCTCCAGTCCCAGCATGACAACGCTCCGCTCCAGACGGGAGGCTCCCAAGAACAACACCAACTGCAGCAAGACGGCTGGGCAACCCTCCACGCAGGGTAGCTGCCGTGCTCCGGCTCGCGAGCTGCTGCCGACAGAAAGCTCTGCCCTGCCCACAAGCACCTTCCAAGTATGTCTAACCGGGAGATTCTTGGATTTGAACTTTATCTTGTTGCTTTCAACCCGAGTGTGGCTCCCACCACTGGAGCCATTGGGGTGTTCGCAGTTACCTCGGGACTGTATTCATTGTCTCCACACACCCGAGGAAAGCACGGGAATGGGAAGTGGAGGGCAAGGAAAGTGCAGGAATGGAAGCAGAGGGCAGGAAAGCACAGGAGCGGGAAGTGAAGGGCAGAGAAGGGCAGGGCCGGGAAGCGGCGGTCCGGGAAGCGCGGGGCCGGGAAGCGCGGGGCCGGGAAGCGGCGGTCCGGGAAGCGCGGCCAAGGCGCCCGTTCCGCCGCGGCGGCGCTGCCGGCGGGGAGGCGCGGGCGAGGG